TCCCTTTTCCTAAACTCAGCTGCTTTTGTCCCCACTCTCAGAGTGGCACCAAAAAACTGAAGGTGGACTTGGCTTGGGTTAATGCTTGGACTATGTGGCCTTAAAGGTCTTTTCCAACTCAAGAAATTCCATGATTCTGTGAGAAATGTGATGAATCCTTTGAAGTGATCCAAACTTAGCTTGGGAGGCTGAGCCAAAGCCAGCTGTGGCAATTACTGACTCACCTTGGTGAGAATTTTTACCTCTCAGGAATATTTTTCAGGAATGTGGTCAAAAATAAAAAACCCTTTTTGTGTTCAGCTGTGGAGCATCACCACAGGTTTGGAGAAGAAGAGAGACTCTTTTCTTCAGAAACTCGGTGTGTTTGATTTTAAAAGCATCCCTGGTTTTAATTTTCAAGCATTTCCCTGGACTGGGATCCTTCTAGGAAAAGGCCAGTTGAGAATCCTAAAAATGATAATGCCTTCCTTAAGCATTTCAATACGTTTTTTACCATACCAGTGGCCCTCCAGGGATGTGAACTGATAGGAAGGGGAAAAGAAAACAAAACTGAAGTGCAAAATGAAAAAAAGAATCCCTTCACAACCTTTCAGGCCACCTTCATGTAAAAAAAACTCAACTTTTTTTAGGTTTTCATTAACAGCTACATTTGAAATTTGCTGCCCTTGAGCTTCCTTTTTTTTAAAATTTTTTTCATAGAAGGAATTATTAAAACAAAAATCAATGATCTGAGTTTGGTTTGGTGTTTCAACAGAAAAGAATAATTCGGTTTATCTGAAGTACTACACTATACATTCTTCTTGTACATATTATTTATAATAAATAAATAATGACAGGAGCTTTTATCTGTTATTTGAAACCAGTGGCCCTTTCAGCAAAAAGATGTGGCTTTCACTTCACAGAAATCCTAAGGATGGAGATATGTAACATTTTCTGATACCACAGACTGAAATAATCCAAACCCTTGACATTTTCTGGAGATATCCCAAGAACCTCAAAACTTTCTGGAGGTATTCAGGTTCCTGGGGTTGTAGGAAGCCAATCTTTAGCTTTGAAGAATTAACTATTAAAAAAATTAACTGTAACAATTTTTCTATTTTGTTATGAATTTTAAAGAGAGAGGCACTGCAGGATAAGAAAGTTTTGCATTACTTAAATGTTTAACTTCGAAATTACAACTAAATCCCTGAGCTTGATTAATTTGGTTACAATAAAAGAAGTGTTGAGAACATTTCCTTTTGTTCAGGGTGCCTGCTGCTCCAATTTTTCAAAATGAAAAGCCTTTGTAGTTGGTTTTATTTACAATATCTGTGTAAGGAAAAATTCGAAACACCAGCCCATAATTCAGTTTCAGAAGGAGCAGCTGGAAGAGAAGTGGGGATCATGGAAAACAAACTTCTTGCTCTGTGCAAAAACTTGGCAGAAGCGGCAGAAAAATTTCTGCTCAGGCAGAGAACAACTTATCAAATCTACTACATTTCAAATGTACTTTGAAAATTTGGCTCTAAAATGCTCCTAAAAGTTGTGATATTAAAGAGCAACATTAGGAAAATGTCTTCTTTTTTTTTTACCCCAAATCCTTTAAATAATTTCTGTAGCAAAAAAAAAAATTCAAATGAAGTAGGTCTCCTTTTATTAAATTTAAGGAGGTAGAAGTCGTTTATACCTTGCTTTAGAGAGAGTACCTTGGGATTTCACAAAACTCCAAGCCTTTCATATGGAAAGAAGACAGAGCTAGACAGAAAATTGATTGTTCTCGGAAAAACATCAGGGCTTTAGCAAAGGCAAACGAGCTCCTTGTTTTTAATGACAATTCAGGAAAAATAGGCTGAGGAGAGAACTGCTGGAGCCCAACCCTGCTCCCTGTCTGCCTTAGGATGATCCCAACCCAAGCCTTGGGAATGCCAGGGTTGGGAGCCAGGCAGAGAGCGGAGTGTGAGCACAGTCAAGGCTCTGTGTGCCACAAACTGCCTGGGAATTCAACAGCTCCTTAAATCCTGGAGTTTGGAGCTTGGTCAGGAATGTCTCAGAGACAACAAGGCTTGGAGTTGAGGATGGCACAGGGCACTGGAGGTGTCTGTCAGTTACTGCACAGCAGCAAATTCCTTCAAATTCCATACTGGAATTTTCTCCATGTTTAAAAAGATGAACAGATGCAAACCCCACTCACCCTCCTGGATGCAGAGCCAGGTTTCTGTGTTATTAATGCTGGATTTGCTCTCAACACAAGGAAAACATGGAGAGTCCAGAGGAGGCCACAGAGCCTGGAGCCTCTCTGGAGCCAGGCTGGGAGAGCTGGGAATGTTCCCCTGGAGAAGGGAAGGATCCAGGGAGAGCTGGGAATGTTCCCCTGGAGAAGGGAAGGATCCAGGGAGAGCTGGGAATGTTCCCCTGGAGAAGGGAAGGATCCAGGGAGAGCTCCAAGCCCCTTGCAGGGCCTGAAGGGGCTCCAGGAGAGCTGGAGAGGGACTGGGGACAAGGGATGGAGGGACAGGAGCCAGGGAATGGCTCCCAGTGCCAGAGGGCAGGGATGGATGGGAGACTGGGAATTGGGAATTCCTGGCTGGGAGGGTGGCCAGGCCCTGGCACAGGTGTCCAGAGCAGCTGTGTCTGTCCCTGGATCCCTGGAAGTGTCCAAGGCCAGGCTGGACAAGGCTTGGAGCAGCCTGGGATGGTGGAAGGTGTCCCTACCACAGAACTGGATAAATTTCCATGTCCCTTCCAACCCAAACCAGTGTGGGATTCTCCAAAACTTGTTGCTAAAAGGTGCAAGAAAGCACAAAAGCAAATTGTGAATTCTATCTGCAGGGAAAGGCCTGAACATTACTGAGGAAGGAAAGGTTGAACAATTAAAGGCAGCGCATTGCTGGTTAAATTCCATCTATTTAATGGAAGGGTTTCCTATGGAGGAAAATAGCAATGTTATCATATAATTAAAGATAATGCATGAGGTCTGAGTGGGTGAGGCAGGGTCAGGAAGGTTTGGGAGTATTGGACTACACAGGAATGTGGATTCCATCCAGAGAGCCCCTGCTTTTAAAAATAGATCAAATGGAAAAGCAGCAGTGGCTGCAATACCTGCACAGCTGTGAGCACTTTAGTGGGGAAAAAAAAAAAAAAAAAAGAGTACAAAATACAAGTTAAGATGTTGAGAATGAGAACTAAATGTTTTCTTGGATTTCACTGGAGCATCCTGAGGTTTATCCACATGTACATATTAAAACTTTCAGGAAATAACCAGTACAACGTGAACCTTACATAGAAAACTACTTTCCCTGCCCTAGTTTTTCACATAGAAAAAAAGGCTTTTTCAGAACCCAAACAGTGACTTTGATAACTATTCCCCCAAAACATTTGGTTTTCCAAATGGTGTAGGTTCCCATTTTAGAACAAATAAAAACATATGCAAAGGTCTATCCTGGAAGGAAAGAGTGACAACAACAAACCCAACCCCTCAATAAGGCAGAGGTATAAATAACCTCCCTCAGCTCTGTCTTTTAAATGGAAAAATCTTCCTTCTGAGGGTCAAAAAAATCCCCAAACTAAGGGAAAATGAAAAGGGAAGAGAACTCCCTTCATTTCTTTCCCTTCATTTTCAAAGGCTCCATAAATGAGACACTTAATTTGTGTGGACTAACAAAGCATTTCCAAGAATTCTCTATTGAGACTGCTTGAAAACATAGATTAGATATATATATAGATTATATAGATTATATATATATATTATATATATATAGATTATATATATGTATATATTAGATATGTATTAGAAAGATATGTATTAGAAAGATTTGCAGAATGAGCCCTTTCCCAGCAGATCCTGATTTGGCTAAAAGAAGAAAATTAATTACAAACACTGAATAAAATTTGTATTTAAATCAGTTTTGACTGTGCTGCATCAAGGCATCACCTGGGTCTCAGCACCCTAAGAACAGTGGAGGATGTATTCCTCAAATTCCCACCTCCTAAGAGCCATCCAAAGTTCAGATTTGAGAATTAAGGAGCTAATTCATGAATTTATCCATGCCCTTATTCAAGAGCATTTTACATCCTTCACTTTGAAAAGCCTCAGCTCGAGTTGGTGCCTCCAGAAGTTCAAAACTGAAGCTGTAGCCTCATTTTGGACCTCTATGCTAAAGCAAAGAAAAGCAAATATGTAAATTCCCAGTGAATTCAAGTGCCCCATTAGGAGCTCAATTATATTCTGAAATGATGTCTTAATTGGTTTGCTCATAGATGAGCTGTACTGCTAACCAAAAATCTACTGCCATAATCAGCACTAAATTTCAGATATTGCCACACATTAAATTAACAGCAGATAATGAGTGGGAAAATTAGCTCTATTTCCATAATAGAAAAAAAAAAAAAGTCCCATATTACCTACAGTGTTATACAGAGTTGGTTTCAAAATAAGAAAAAATAATCCATAAACAAAACTCTCCTGAATATCCTCACATTTATTTGGATCATTTATTGATAATAAATACTTCAAGCAGAGGAAATAAATGGCACAGGACACATCAGATTTGTGCTTGCAATATTTAATTTAAAATACTTCTAAAACTCTGTAGAAATTTGCAAGAGATTGAACTGTTTTACCTTTTTTTCACCAGATTTTTGTCTTTTGGAGCATAAGCCTCATACCCAATTACCCTTTAGATTTTAAGGTAGTGCTGGTTCTCATCAGTACCACAAAAATATTGTAACTGATCTGCAGCTCAAAACACTCATGAGAAAAGAAGAATAAAGAAAAACATTAAGTGCAGGGGGAAAAAAAGAGAAGCTAAGGAAGGAGAGATATTCCTGTAACTAAAAGGAGAAGAAACGGAGCTCTTTCCATGGATATTATTTTTCACTTCAGAATAAATAAACATTGAAAAAAGAGTTTAAAAGTTGGCAGAGTGATCAGACTCCCAAACTTCAGCTGCTGTTCAACTTTGGAGGTCAAAAACAAACTTAATACTTCGAGACAAATGCATAATGTGGATTATTTGAGCTACCTTTGCTGTGTGAAGGAAACAGATTTCAGAGATCTTGTCTGTAAATGATATAATCTTCAACAGTGCTGCCTCCAGCGACCACCATCGTCAGCAAGGATCTGCAGAACAACACCAGAGCACAAAATCAGCCAGGAGACCTAAATACTGATTGATTTATTTATTACAAAGGCACAATTTCATGCAACACATGAATTTAGGAGCTGCTGTTAAAAATAAACAGTTACTACAGGGGAAGGGATTGATCTGCTTGAGGAATATGATAATTACTCTATATTAGTATATTTAAAAATACACCTAACTTGGGGAATTTGCTGTTATACCAAAATAACAACAGCAAGGATCCCATGAGTTAAAATTTCGATTAAATAAAATTACAAATTAGCATTGAAATGTGACATATTATAAAGACTAATAGATTATGAAAAGTTAAAGCACCTCCCTAGACTGAAATTAAAGGTAACTTTAAGACAAGGTCACTATAAATGCTAGTTATGGTTTTAAAAAATAAAGTTATTCAACAATATAACCCCAGAGCATAATTTGTTAGTGCTGCTTTCATATCTCAGCACTGTAGCTATGGAAAGATAAATATAAAAAATTAAATCACTAGAAAACTCATCAGGCCCAAGTGTTTGTCTTGTAAATGATTCTTCCTTTTTACTCAATCAATTCCATTTGGTTTAGACTTTCTAAGACCATGGAGGAATCCAAGCCTAAGCAAAGGAAAACTCCCCTGACTTCCATCACCTGAGAAAAAACACCTTTCAAACCAGCAAGTTATGGAACACCTACATAGATGCTCTGCTCTTTCTAGAGCTTCCAAAAATGTAAAAGCCTTGTAGAGGAAATAACTCAGATCAATCTCTGAACTACAACTGCCCACGATTATGTTCCCTCTCTTTCTCATGCAAACCTGGAAAAGCTGTCCCTGCCCCTCCAGCTGAGAACGGATGGATCAGTGTGGGGAAAACATTCCAGGCACAAAATGAGCCAGTCAAGTCCTAAAAAGCTGCTGTGCAGGCACTGGAAGCCAGGCTGCCCTGGCAGATTGGTGGGGAAATTCCAGATATGGTTCCAGGTGGGGTTGAGGGGCTGGAGAGGGACGGAAAACCAGTTTTTTTCATAATTGAAGGCTTAATGAAGACCTGGAAGTCACAGAAGCTTCTGTGAAACAAGAGGTAAAAAAAGATCTGGTGATGAACTCAACATCACTGAACAACCCAACCCAAGACACCAAATGTTGGTGCTCTGAGATCCAAGAAAGCCCTGGAGGTGCCACTCAGGGCCCTGGTGACAAGGAGGGGATGGTCACAGCTCGGGCTCCATGACCTTGAAGGCCTTTTCCAACCCCAAAAACACTAAACCCAAACAATCACCTTTAAATCCACACCTTGTGCAGCCAAAATATAAAACCCCTTAGAATCAGGAGTAGTTAAGGCTGGAAAAAGCCTTTGAGATCACCAAGTTTAACCAGCACCACTCTTTGACAGCTCTGTTGGCTCTGGTGTCTGTTATTTGTCTCCAACCAAACCCAAACCCAAACCCAAACCCAAACCCAAACCAACTGATTTCTTTAGTGAGTTCAGCACAGAAGTTTGGATCGGTGGCTCCAAAGAGGAAAGCTCACCTGTTGAAAACTGGGAAATGGATTGAGAATTGCAGTGAAAAATGGCATTTTAAAGGGAGAACACAATATGGAGCAGCTCTGGGATGATAATGTAATATTTCATTGTGCCACTTTAAAGAGATCCTGTTTGGATCTCCAAAGTTGTTCTCAGTCTTCTCTTAAAGGGATTTTGTTCACATAATTTGGTGTTGAGGTTTTCTATCAACATTCCCTCAAACTTCCCATCCAGTTCTTAATCTCCCCAGATTTTTTCACTGCCATGAAAAGATCTGTATTTTATTTTTTTGCCTGACAAATAAATCATTTTCACGTTGCCTTTTGTGTTAATAGATGATGTTTTCTATTTTCTTTGTGAACTGCACGGCCACAATCCAGATATTTAAACTCTGCTCCCACTGCAGATGTTATTTCTGATCAGATTTAATCATCACTCTCAAACAGAACAACTGCAATAATTGTAAGGGTATCATTAATTTTGTTCTCAAAACCTCTAAGCCTTCTCCAAGGGCTTGGAGCATCACAGCACTGGGAAGAAATTCCTTCTGTGTTTAAGCACATCTTTTCAAGGGAATCTGCTGAATTTTGTGGGACCTGCTAATTTTGCTGAATGACACCTGAGTGCTTCATTTTTCCTTTGGATGATTTTATGATCATCACCCTGAGACCAGAAGGAGTCACTATGACCTCACCTCCAATTAATGGGAATTTATAGATGAAATTAAATGCTTTCTGTTTAAGAACACGTGATGACATTTACAGTGTCCATTCCTCTAAGACATTTGATACACAAATAAAGACAGAGTTCCACAGAATCCCAGACTGGTTTGGGTTGGAAGGGACCTTAAAGCCCTGCCATGGGCAGGGACACCTTTCACTATCCCAGATTGCTCCAAGCCCCATCCAACAGGTCCTGAACGCTCTTTCCTGGCCACCACAGCCCAGGAGTGCCTGGAATTCCTTTGTGCTGCTCTTCAGGTGCTCCCTGTTCTTCTTTTTAAATTTTCTCTCTTTTTCTTATAGTCTCCAGCACCTAATTTTGAATGTTGTTCCTCTAAATATCCCAGAGTATGAAGAGTTGGTTCTACAGGATTCTGCATCCTAGTCTGGTGCCAACCCACCAAACATATGTCTCTGCTCAAATGGAAGAATCTGTTTTGATTTCTCTTTTTTTAAAAAAAAATTTCTTCCTGGACTGAGGACAAAACATTTCTTTAGATACAACTCAACATTTAGTATCTTCTGAGATATGAAACTTCCTATAAATTTTTGTTAATTTATTCCCATGCAACAGCTTTGAAGAAACTGAACTGAGTACATGACAAGAATTATTAAATGTTTAAAAATTCATTACTAAATCAAAATTAATTTAGAAATTCCTGGTTGGGAAGGTGGGCAGGCCCTGGAATGGAATTCCCAGAGAAGCTGTGGCTGCCCCTGGGTCCCTGGAAGTGTCCCAGGCCAGGCTGGACAGGGCTTGGGGCAGCCTGGGACAGTGGAAAATGTCCTTGCCCATGGCAGGGGTGGCACTGGGTGGGATTTGAAGTCTTTTCAAGCCAAACCCATCCCAGAATTCCATGATAATTCTTCAATCTCATGGGTAACAACCATGCCTGAGATTCCTAGAGATGTTTAGGAACAAAAAGAAATCCATCAGCTCAGACAGGTGCAAAATCTCACATCATTTTCTGTTAGATAAGGGAATATTTGGGATGCACCACCACAGGAACACTCCAAAGCCTCTGCCATTTCCATCACTTGTTGCCTCTGGGAGGTGTTTTTTTTTGTTTGTGAGAAAAAATCCTTCCAGTCACATGAAAATTATTCCACAGCAAGATAAATGCATGCAGGAAACAGCAGAAATTTGATGCATAACGCAGTATCTGCACACAGAGTTAAGAAAATACTTCCTAATTTTTAATTTATTTTTTTTAGCAGTAGTAAATGCAAAGAAGCAGAACCCTGAAGGGATCTTTGTATTTTCACACCTGAGGGGTGCAGAGCAGGAGCAGGACAGCAGCAGGAATGTGCAGGAATGAGCAGGGCTGGATTCTCCTCGGAGCTCAGAACCCCCACCACGATCCAGCTCAGTTCCAAAGGCTACCTCCAGAGAAGGAGGAAAACACGAGTGTTTCCCTTTTTTTATAATGCTGAAAAGGCCGCCTCAATCTTTCTTTTAAATTAATAGTTTGGAGAGAGAAACAAATAAAGAGGGTCAGATTGTTTTTGTCAGAGATGAGCAAGCAAGGACTAATGAGATCACATGACAGATGAGTCTACTCCAAGATGGTCCTAAGGAAGAAAATCCCGCTTTTAACTCGTATTTACTGTTTTACTGGCACCAAAGGAACAGAATTTTCTAATTACCATTAGAAAACAAGAAGATATTTTAACTAGGAGAGCCTCTCTAGTTTTACAAATTTGATGGTATTCTGGGGAAGGGCAGTTTTGGGGATGCTGGGCTGTATTCTGCACCAGATACTTGTCTCTATATATTCATATTTAAGTCTAACCCACATATTATATGTAAGTATTATATGTACATAAATATATAGAATAAAAATTATGTTTTCTCTATGTATATAGACAACAGACACTTTATTTTTTACTACAGGCAAAATCCCAGTGCTATCAAAATTTCTGAGAACTAAAATATTTCTGGAAGAAATAAATCCCCCAGTCCTCAACAAGACACAAACTCCATTAGAAAGAAATCCCATTTATCTTCCAAACACAAATATCTCCATTTTCTTCCTTTCTGGATTACTTCTAAATACTTTTTTAGTAGCTAATCTCTCTTTAAAGCTGAACAGAGCATAGAAGAGGGGTGGGAGAGCTGGGAATGTTCCCCTGGAGAAGGGAAGGATCCAGGGAGAGCTGGGAATGTTCCCCTGGAGAAGGGAAGGATCCAGGGAGAGCTGGGAATGTTCCCCTGGAGAAGGGAAGGATCCAGGGAGAGCTCAAGAGCCCCTTGCAGAGTCTGAAAGGCCTCCAGGAGAGCTGGAGAGGGACAAGGGATGGAGGGACAGGACACAGGGAATGAAGGGATATTGGGAAGGAATCCATGGACTGAAGTAACTTCCAAGAGTCTTCCTTGCTCAGAGTAGCCCAGAAATCCAGAGATGGGAAGAATCCCTCATTCATGGAAATTGAACAGGGAAAAGTAAGCTCAGTGCCACGCTAAGAAAATTATCATCCCCAGCAAAGTAGGTCACAGGAGTGAGTAGTTTACTAAATATAAACTTTCTTTGTAGTCAGGCAACCACTGTCAGAGTAATGAGATTTACTCATATTTCACCCAAGTGCTCTCTGCATTCAGAATCATTAAAATAACCACTGAGTGACCACTCACACGTCCCTCACCTCTCAGGTGACGCAGCAGCAAATTCAACAATCTCAAAAAAGAAAAAAAGAAAAGAAAAGGATTTTGGCCTTTTATAATTTGTAGATATAAAAGAAAACCTTTTGCATCTC